CTTTCCTCCCTTTCCGCACCCCTCTCCCCTGCCCGCGGCTGACACAAGATTCCTGCATCTGCAGCTGCAGAGATGACAATCGCACCCGCGACCGTCTATCTCGACCTCTCACGCTCTGCCAAATGCCCGTGACGAGATGCTGCTACAGACACCTCTCCCGTTGGACGATCACAGGCTGTACTGCTCAACCTCCGTTCTCGCAGCGATCCAAGCAGACGGAGCAGCAGCAACATGACAAGGTTGACATCAGTGGGGAATCACCACCGTCAAAATCTGACGTGTGTACGTATCCAGATCCCACATGAACGGTTCACGGGCCATCACACAGCTCCTTCCAGGCCCATACAGGGATACACTCATTTTTCTCATCAGGAGGCGTCAGGCAAAGTAAACACACGCCTCCAAGAAACCTGGGACCAAGCACGCCAAAGAAGTGCGTCTGCCAAAGAGATTGCACCATCGGACGGGAAAAGCGGGCCCCGCCCAGCTGGTGGGTACCCCGAATGCCGCGCCGATGCCCACCCATAGACCGAATTGCGACCGGATCCCAGGCCCTGTCGCCAGGAGCAATACCAGGAGATAAGTATCCCTTCGTGACTCGACTTTCCGTCCTAGTGGGCGAGGATATAAATACATGGTGTGCCCCCCGTGGAAGTGGAAGAGAAGAAGTCTTTGCTCCTTGAGCTTAAGTAACAGTCTGGGCCATCACCCTGCAATCGTCTTTCACTACTGTTCCCCCTTTCGTGACTCTTCCCATACGGGACTTCTTTTTGTTTACTAGCTCTGAGTACATCGTTTACCCCTTAAGCCTCCAAAATGGAGAACACATCACGAACATCGTCAAACACCCTACCGCCGGGCTCTTCCTCCTCGGAGGGCCCGCAGTACGCCTCCATCACCAACAACACCAGCAACACCCACAAGCGCACGCCCTCAAACGCGAGCAACACCAACCGCCGCGCCTCCATCGCCTCCAACATCCTCCACCCGGTGCAGACGAAAGAGACCATTGACCCGGCCCTCGACGTCAACCTGCCCTACCGCACCCTCTCGCCCAATGCCAACCTGGACGAGTACCGCGTCGAGACAAACGACGGCCAGATCCCCGGGCCCCCCGCCGCCGGCGACGGCGCCGGCGGGCCCGCGAGCAACTACAAGCTCGTCACCTTCACGCCCGGCGACAAGGAGAACCCCAAGAACTGGTCCAAGGCGTACAAGTGGTACTGCACCATGGTCGTCGCGCTGACGTGCTTCGTCGTCGCCTTCTGCTCGTCCGTCATCACGGCCGACATCGCCGGCGTCGCGGAGGAGTTCCACGTCTCCGAGGAGGCCGCCCTCGTCAGCATCAGCGTCTTCGTTATTGGTTTTGGCGTCGGCCCCATGGCCTTCGCGCCGCTCTCGGAAATCTACGGCCGCCAGGTCATCTACGGCTCGACGCTGCTCATCGCTGTCATCTTCATCATCCCCTGTGCGGTGGCCAAGAACCTCGGCACCCTCCTCGTCTGCCGCGCCATCGACGGCATCGCCTTCTCCGCGCCCATGACGCTCGTCGGCGGCACCCTCGCAGACCTCTGGAGGAACGAGGAGCGCGGCGTCCCCATGGCCGCCTTCTCCGCTGCCCCCTTCATCGGCCCAGCCAGTAAGCCCCCCCCCATCCTCCCCTCCCCCCTCCCCCCTCCCACTAACAACTCCCAGTCGGCCCCTTGGTCGGTGGCTTCCTCTCCGACGCAGCAGGCTGGCGCTGGCTCTACTGGATCCAGCTCATCCTCGCCTTCGTCGTCTGGGTCCTCATCACCTTCACCGTCCCCGAGACCTACGCGCCCACCATCCTCGCCCGCCGCGCCGCCAAGCTCCGCAAGTCCACCGCCGACCCCTCCCACGTCACCGAGCAGGACATCGACCTGCGGCCCCTCTCCGAGCGCCTCGGCATCTTCCTCATCCGCCCCTTCCAGCTCCTCTTCCGCGAGCTCATCGTCTTCCTCATCTCAATCTACATGTCCGTCCTCTACGGCCTGCTCTACATGTTCTTCGTCGCCTTCCCCATCATCTACCAGAAGCGCAAGGGCTACTCCGCCTCCTCCACCGGGCTCATGTTCATCCCCCTCGCCGTCGGCGTCGTCCTCTCCGCCGCCTGCTCCCCCTGGGTCAACAAGCACTACCTCACCCTCGTCGCCAAGCACAACGGCCACCCCCCCGCCGAGGCCCGCCTCGTGCCCATGATGCTCTCCTGCTGGTTCATCCCCATGGGCCTCTTCATCTTCGCCTGGACCTCCTACGCGGACCTGCACTGGGCCGGCCCCGCCTTCGGCGGCTTCCCCGTCGGCTTCGGCTTCATCTTCCTCTACAACTCGGCCAACAACTACCTCGTCGACTCGTACCAGCACCAGGCCGCCTCCGCGCTCGCCGCGAAAACCTGCATCCGCTCCTTCTGGGGCGCGGGCGTCGTGCTGTTTACCGAGCAGATGTACGACCGCCTCGGCGACCAGTGGGCGTCGACGCTGCTCGCCTTCATCGGCCTCGCGTGCTGCGCGATTCCCTTCCTCTTCTGGGTGTACGGCGCAAGAATCAGGCAGCGCAGCAAGTACGCCTACTCTGGCGACGACGAGGACGAGGCGGCTGCGAGTGGGAGCAGTAGTGATGTGGAAAAGGCCAAGGCGCCTACGAACGCGCTGGAGCCCACGAGGACTTTTGAGCCTGCGTAAAGATCTGTGGTCACGAAAGGGAGAGCGGTGGTAATATCGTGGGTCGGAATGGTGGTGTTGGCTGCTCCGAAGCTTGGGGAGGGGACGTGTAGCTGTGGAAGGTTGTTTTTGTTTTTGGGTTGATTCACTCGGCGTAATTGGGGAGTGAAAAGGGAAGGAGTACCAGGAGCTGGCCGGCATATTGAAACATAGACGCATTAGACATGGACGGCAATGCCGTAGACATAATCTTGAATAAACCAAAGTCAAAAATCACCATCGCCGCGGCAAAGAACAACAGAGTGTAGGGAATCGTATATTCATAAGTCGTGATCCGTATCTACCCATGACCAGCCAACAAGTAGGGTATCCATCAACCTAGGTTTTCCGACAATGGCCAGCAGCAGCCTAGATAATGCGCACCGGCAGGGAGTCTCTGCGCGACAGGAGAAACTCCTCCTTGACTAGCGAATTGTCGCATTTGCGGCCCCGCAAAAAGTCCTCGAGGTTGCGGAACGTGCACTCGGAAATCTCCTGCAGCGCCTCCTCGGTGAAGAAGCCCTGGTGGCCGCAGATCAAGACGTTGGGAAACGTCATAAGGCGCGTCAGCACGTCGTCGTCGATGATGTGTCCCGAGTGGTCGTTGTAGAAGAGGTCGCCCTCGCCCTCGTACACGTCGAGCGCGAGGCCCCCGAGATGCTTACTCTTGAGGGCGTGGGTGACGGCCTTAGTGTCAATCAGGCCCCCGCGGGAGGTGTTGACGAGCATGGAGCCGGGCTTCATCATCTTGAGCGTCTTCTCGTTGATGATGTGCTTCGTCTTCTCCATGAGGGGGCAGTGCAGGCTGATGAAGTCGCACTTGGGCAGCAGCTCCTCGAGGGGCAGGTACTCGCCGAGCTCCTTGAAGGCGTCGGACTCGTAGGGGTCGAAGGCGTAGAGGGTGCAGCCGAAGCCCTTCATGATGCGGGCCATGGAGACACCGATGCGGCCGGTGCCGATGATGCCGACCGTCTTGCCGTGGACCGTCTTGCCGAGCAGGCCGTCGAGGTTGAAGTTGCCCTCGCGGGTGCGGTTGTAGGCGCGGTGGGTGCGGCGGTTGAGTGTCTGCAGGAGGGAGACGGCGAACTCGGCGACGGCCTCGGGGGAGTAAGAAGGGACGTTGGCGACGAAGATTCCGAGCTTCTCGGCAGCCTTGAGGTCGACGTTGTTGAACCCTGCGCAGCGAAGAAGGACAGCCTTCACTCCCGTCTCGTGGAGGGCCTCGAGGACGTCGGCGGAGAGGACATCGTTGACGAAGACGCAGACGGCGTCCATGTTCTTAACGAGGGACACCGTCTCGGGGGAGAGCGAGAAGTCGTGGTAGACAACCTCAAAGTCGGAGGGGGAATGCTCGGCGAGGGCCTTCTTCTTGGCCTCGTGCTCGGCGGACAGGTATTTCTTGTCGTAGGCCTTGGCGCTGAAGACGGCGAGCTTCATGGCGGCGGTTGAGAAAGTCGGTGGATGGGTGATTGAGCTTAAGCGATGCTTTTTGACGAGATGATTGAATAAGAATTCCGGTGCTTGCTCGAATATGTTGTCGGAAAACGAGAGGATGGAGGTCGAGGGTGAAGATGGCAAACGACGTCGCCGGGAGAAGAGGAGGTCGAGGGAATTTTGAGGCAGCACAAGGAGCAGCCAAGACATCAGCTCCCCCGCGCCTGCGCGTTCTTTTCGGGTGCCAGCCTTGGCTGGTAGCTGGCCGCCTTCCGCATTCTGCAGACTGTTCCTGCCTGTGATACCTCAACCAGCTTGGCGCGATTCACGTCCGATTGCTCTTTCCGGCGTTTAGGGACCAAAAACTGTGCTGTATGACGTGAACGCAGGCGGTCCCGCGGGGGGACCTGCCGCGCCTTTTAAGCTTGTCCTACGGCGCAGTGGCCTGATCCCAAGAGCTACCCCGCCATGCCTCTCCTTCTGGAGCTCTGGGCAGCTCGCTAACCGAAACGGGCGCTGGGCTGCGTATGTCACGAGGAGCTGGCAGCAGCCACGCCCTGGATTTTCAGGGGAAGCCCCGGTAAATGACATCGTCACATCTGACTCGAGTGGGAACACTGCAGAAAGCCGCAGATATACGAAATGACAAGATCAAGTTTGACTGACGGCTCGAATTCATGCCTTCTTACTAATTCCTCATAAGTCATTCAAACGCAAGGCACTCCAAACGCCTATGTGGTATAGTCCTGTTGTCCCCGCTATCCACCGCCATTCGTTACTCCAGTCATGAACCCATATCGACTGAGACTATTATCTACAGCTGGTGCGCATCTTATCAAGGAGCCGTTATCGGGTGCTGCTGTCAGCTTGTTGGCGCCAGATGTGCGTATCACCTAGGCTCATCGAACTATCCGACGCAGCCGAGGCCGTGTTCGCGGGAGCATTGGGTCTCTCCGTGTCCACTGCGCTCTCGCTCTCATCTCCCGAATCGTCGGCTGGAGGCGGATCCTGATAGATCCACGGTCGATCAAGACTATGACACGTTAGAGCGAGTCAGAAATGGGGTCGCGGGTACATACCGAGAGGTCAAGCTGGGGTTAATGAACTTCATCCCCTTCTCCTTGTCCTCGTCAATCGTGCTTCCTCTTCTAAGCAGGCCCTGCGAAGGTCTCGGTCCTTCAAAATCTTCGTCAAGAATGGCAGAGTCCTCAGCGTCAAACTCTGCCCGAATGCTTCGGAGCGAGATGAAGCGGGTTAGGGGCTCGAATCGGCGTCGGAAGTAGAAGCTGTACCATATCGTGAAGATGACCAGAGGCAAGACCAGCACCGACTGAGCAAAACCTGTCTGCAGCGCCATGACACTGGACAGAATGATCTCTGCCACGACTAGGCCAAGCACGATACGGTACGAAATCGTCCTCCACGCCGCACCCGTCGCATGCTGCGGCTGGTCCATGGCGTACAGGAGTTGATACTTGTACGTGAAGTACCCAAACGTAAAGTAAATCATTCCCATCGGCAAGATGAGAGCGCCAAACGGCAACGTGCTGTAAATTTGGCACAGCATAAACACAAGGAGCGCCGTCGGGAGATAGAAGCCGTAGCTGAACACTGGCGGCTGCATAATCTCGGCAAAGTCTCTCGGAGTCTTTGCTCCCATGCGGTAGATCGGGTAGAGAAAGACACTGCCCACCTCCAGGAGTCTGAAGGGAAACAGGCCAAGGCCTTGAAGCATGATGAAGTTGGCGTAGAACAGACCCAGGGCCTCAATCCGTGAACCAATCAATCGTGCCAGCTTCGTCGTATTGCCCCAGGAATCCTGAAAGTCTTGGAAAATCTTAAAGACACTGAGCGCAGTCCCTGAGACGGCGAAGACGAGGAAGACGTTGACAAACGTGAAGAAGAAGTTCTTCGAAATGATGGACAGCTCGACGTCGCCCTTGGAGATCATGCCCTGCTGGTACGACAGATAATCGTACAGGTAGGGCACGGCCACATTGAGCAACGAAACGAGCACTGTCGTCAAGGACGTCTCGATCAACTCCTTGATGGTCGGGAACTGCTTCAAAAAGTCGACAACAGAAGGGAACCATTGCTGAAAGTTGCAAACGCTCAAGAGACCCGCAATGGCAGCCAGCACGGCGATCCACAGGATAGACAGCGCGGCCACGAAGATTGTTACCGTCCACGATCGCAGCCTTCGTACACCTCGAGGTGCGTATGTGTTGGCCCACATGATGTCTGAAGGCGCTGGCGCGGGTTTCGTCAGGAACTGTCCGGGGCGGGGATCGATGCGGGCTTGGATCGCCATCTGGCAGGCCGCAATACTGTCCATCGTAACGAATGCTTGATCGCTCGGCGCGTATTCCTTCTGCCTGGCCTCGTAGATCTTCTCGTCAAGCCGCCTCAGCTTCTCCTCGTAGTAGTCGATAGCATCCGTCTGGCGGCTTTGGAGCTTGAGAAAGCCGTACCACAGGCGAATCTTTGGGCGTTCACGCTCCACATACTCTGGGTGGAGTTCGCCATGCCCCAATAGCCGTCCATTTTCACCGGCCTCCTCGTCAATTTCATCCTGACGTGGCTCCAGAACAGAAGGCTCTGCCTCGGGGTCACGCAGACGTTGTACGGATTTGGGTAGGGCGGCCTGCTTTCCAAGAAAGACGCTCCAGGATTCCTCCAGTTTCGCCAGAATTTGTGCTCGTTGTTCAGTCAGTGAGTCAATCTCCCTCCAGTCGCGAACCAGGTTAACACTCTCAACACGACCGATTTGGAGCTTCTCAATCAAGTGCTTGATCTTGTCCTCGGATCGCATGTTCTGGGGAATTCCTGACAGGCGGAATGTCCTGTCTGTGACAGTTGACTGCGTTCCGAGGTACTCTTGGCGGATATGGATGACCCGGAAAGTCTCCTTGTTCAGTATGTATAGTGTGAGCCCTGAAAAGACATAGACGAATACCAGCCATGCCCAAAGATAGCTTCTGTCTGGATCGTCCTTCGAGTCCTTGCCACCCTCGTCGTACGTGTTCGCGTCGCCGTAGGTAGCCATCCAGTCGAACATGGCGACACTGGTGCTGTTGAGCTTGTAATCTCCTGGTCTGTAGTGGAGGTTGATCGGCAGCAGGACGACGAGGGCGAGGAACGTCATGACGGCCAAGATGCGGATGGCCATCCTGAAGAAAGACAGGAACTGCCATTGTCAGCTGAGTTGAATGTGTTCCTCTCAAGTAGCTCGTCCACCTACAACGAATGCATCAAGCCCCGCGGAGGCGAGAACCTGCTCCTCCGTCACACGATACAGGCCGGGAATCCATCCGAGCAAGGTATTCGGAAGAGTGGGAAGGCCAATCTTGGGGTCGAGTCGGCGCTTGCGCGCAGCGTAGAGAGTCGGCCATCGCGGACGAAGAATGCAAAATGCGACAAAAGCCGAGACGCCGAGGATGAGAGAGAGGGCTAACTGGACAATGATGGCGCGGCTGCTCGGCTGGAGAGCCTCTGTGGCATCCTTCCCGCCGCACTTGTCTGTCGAGTTGATTATCAGCGCGTCCATCTCGCGTACATAGTGAGGGTTCGGTCAAGGTGGTTGATGTTCTGTCAGTGTTGGCGGTGTAGATGCAGCTGTAGAGTCGCCAAGCGGTCGTCGGTGGAATCTGGTGATGCAGGTGGTTGGTTGAAACCGAAGCTGGAGCTTCAGGCACGCGAAGGAAGGTCTCCACTTCATCTGAACCTGTGACGTGATGATGCAGCCCGAGATGAAGTAGCTGATTACGTAACAGTCGTCAACGGCCACACCGCCGCCACAGCAAGCACGTGAAGACCACTGCACTCGCCTCTACTACCTTAGTGCAGCAAGCTCCTGGACTCGGGCCACCAACACTGCGAAGCTCTAAATCGAGATGCTGCGGTTGAGGTGAGCGACATTGCGCTCATAGCGCGCTGCTTCCGATGCCCCAAATCCTCGAAGGCCAGTATGACCTATGAAAAAGAAGCCCACAGATATTATGGTATGCCTTGAAAAATGGTATTGTCAGGGTTGTACCTTGAAAATCCGGCGGTTGCTTGTCCGGGGTGTCCGAAGCCACGGCGACGTTTCGTTGAAGCCATCGCCAGGGCAGGCACATGCCGTCAGATGCAGAGCTGCATTCGACCCCAGACACCATGCCTTATCTGGCATGGCTTTTCTCACCCAAGCCCGACTGATGAACACGCGAGGAAGCCAAGCCCAGCCCTCTGGCAGGCTGCAGCAAAATCACGAGCTCTACCTTAGTCGGTGGTCGGGCCTCCTGCTGAGGTCGGTATTAGTCGCCCACACCGAAGATCTCACCGTGAAGCAGCACTGCCTCTGCAAAGACTCGTGCCAAGGACAGTCGTCGGAAACGAACCTGCATCTTGGGAATTTGGGAATTTGGAAGCACAGGACGAACAAGACGGGACGGCCAACTGCTTCGGCCCAAGAGTTGGGAGGTTTCAGTGCTCTGATGCCACAGAGCCGTTCAGGAGCCGACGCACTGACGCGGAATGTTTTCGTGGCCCCCTGCGGCGCATGGCTTCCCCCGAGCATTGTAGTCGTCCTCGTCCTGTCCATTTGGCTTGCGAGAGGCTGGTTCGATTCAGAGCTGGCTCGACGTTGGAAGGATGGGCTGCAGCAGACAAAGACGGGGCATTCTACCGTCACCAGCCACTTGGCGCATTCAGGCCCTCTCCTTGCAGCCGTTTGCGGGCCAGGCCTTACATCGACGTCACGCCCAGCGACGAGAACGATGGAGGTTGTCGTCAATCGATTGATTGTCAACAGCAGGATGCAGGCTGCAGATGCACACTTTAATCGTCGCCGATGCCCGGGAATAAGTCCATGATTGACGCTGCAGGGCGAATAACAGCGAAGTGCAGGCAGCAGGCCGAATAAAACATGGCGATAGCGATGAGACCGAGACGAAACAGCGTTGCAAGCCGCCCGAGTGCCAAGCTACGGCCCGGGACGGGTCTTGACTTGGAGGTACCCGGCCGTAGAGAAGGTTGGCGGTCATCTCGTCGGCCAACCTCTTGCTTTCATGCGGCTTCCACCTCGGTCGATGAAATGAATGTCGACTGCAGCTTTGGGTGAGGGAGGCGCAAAGAGATCTGGTCTGCAGCCAAAGGTTGAGCAGAGTTCATCTCCATTACCTACCTTGGCCGGGGAAAGAAGTCTTTGTTATCGACGGGTCTGGATTGGCTGCAGGGCGCACCTGCCGTTGGCTGGCTGCGGAAACTTCCAATCGCAAGCCGCAAACTGCAAACCTGTGAGGTGGAAAGGGAGGTGCTCCGGCCTATTTTTTCACTGGCCCCTCCCCCACCGTTCCCCGGGTCGTCCCTGCCCCTCCACTGCCTTCCCAGCGCTCTCCTTCCCGCCGGTCCCTTCCCTGCCGCTGCACCACCATCCTCTTCCTGCCTCTTCAACCACATTCCATAATTACCGGCGGTCTGGATTCAGGATCTGCCAATCGTACCTGCCTATCTGCGTGCATGCTTGCGCAGGCTTTTCACTGCTGCTGCCCCCCTGCACCTACCCTACGCTACGGCTTTTGTCGGCCCACAACTCGACGACGTCGACCCCTCCAAAAACTCCCCGGTTCATCTCTCTCCAACGACCACGAGAATTTCGGCTTTTTCTAATCAGCTCCATCTCGGCCCCTCAATGCCCCTCACTGCCCTTCGCATTTGCTACAACTGTTGCTTAATCACAATACTTCTGGGCGCTATTCAATCGCATCAATACGCGACACACTAGCAACATGGCCGACGCTCAATTGACTTGCAGCCGGGCCGACGACTTCGTCCTTGTCTGCAGGCCCAAGAAGGGAACCGCTTTTGTTGAGGCCCGACTTAACGATGGCGTGAGTTCACCTGCCGCTGAATGCGCAACCTAGTCATCCACCTGTGAACAGTGCCACTCACACTCTCTAATCGACAGTACACCTACACCGACAAGGGCTGGCAGCAGATTCTCGCACACCTGGAACGCGAATTGAGCCCCGATAAGCTCAACGAAGATGCCGTCATCTCCCTTGAAACAGATCTGACGGACACCTCTCGTGAGTAGAACCCGCCAATGCCTCCCAACTCATACTGACCTGTCATCAGTCTCCAAGTACGTGCCCCAGGGCATATTCCAGTCCTTGCGAGTTGTCGACATCCAAGGCCTCGACCCAGCAACCCGCCAAATCTCAGCTCGGGATGTTGCCATCAAATTCAATCCCTACAAGCTCAGCTCCGAGTTGCCAACAACATACGACCACGAGCAGGTCGTCGTCCTTCCAAACTCCAAGCTTGACGGTCTCTGGGAATTGTATGGCATCCCTGCCTACCGCTCGGAATATTATTATTGACTCTAACCCTTTCGTAGTTGTTGATTCTGACCATGATCTAGCTCGGTCAAAGACAACCATCTGCGATCGGAGCTTTCTCGATGGGTGAAGAACTTTGGTGCGTCTCGCCTTGAGCACCTTCCAAACCTTGGCCTCTGCTGACCTTGCCAGCATCTATGACGCATGTTGCAACCCCGCCCGCTTCAAAGCCAGCAGAATCCATTATCCTCATCCTTGGTCCCACTGAATCTGGCAACTCGGATCTGGCCATGGCTATGGCACAGAAGATCTCTATCCAACTTTAGCGCCGGGATAGGCCGATCCATCTGCATGCCCCTGTGCCAGGCATCAACTTCAAGAGCATTGCAGCGAAGGCTATACAGTCACGATCAACCATACACATAGTCCTGATTGACAGCATCGAGAGCTACAGCTGGACAAGGAGAGCCACAGTCTCCCCAGAGACGGACACCAAATTTCATGAAATCACCTGCTCCAGTGGTTTCGACACTCTTGCAGCAATCCCAAACGTCGTGGTTATCTGTACATCGAGAACGGGCAACTTGCCAGTCCACAGCCTCCCTGACCCCTCCGGCAAGCCAGTCAGATTGGCATATCTGGCACCCCTGACATTGCCTCGCCTGGATCTGGCTCAACGCTATGATGTTTTGTGCAGCCAATTCCAAGCTTACATGGACGCCGGCGTCATCACCTGCAACGACAAGCTTGACGACTGTCTCGGTGCCATCCGCGACCGCGAGGACGGGAAGGCTACTCCAAGTATCCAAATTCTCGAGCTTGCAGAGCACGTCGGGGACGACATAAGCGCCCGACTCGGGGGACAAATAGTCATCCTGGCTTTAATGACCGACCTTAAGGAAGAAAGATGCGACATGGCCACTGCGGTGAGTATCGTCTGGAGGTATCATACGCGTCTTGGTGCCGAAAGAACAACTACTGCCAATTAAGGTAAGGTGGTGTCCGGGCTTGCGTCGTGGACAGGTGAGGTTGACTAATGCATTTGGGCAGGCTCCATCGAAGACAAAACTCAGGCGGCCGCAACAGCCTCTGCCGAAGTCAAGCGAGCAGGGATGGACACCAAAGAAAGGCCAGATACTGCTGCAAGTAACCGAAGGGCCTCCTTTAATCAATCTGGGTGACTTTGTAGACGTGGGCGAGGGGTCATCAGTCGCTGCGATTCGACAGTGACAGTCAGTGCTGAGTAGAGGTTATTTCTGTTCCTCGGCGAGCAGTCCCTTCGATACCCATGGTTGCAGACTCGCCGTTAGGCGCCCATGAGTTCAGGAACATTGCATAATTATGGCAGGTTCTGGCGGGGGATCATTGGTGTGCGCCCAACGTTGAGACGTCACGATGACAGATGTTTAAAGAGCATCGGATTGCTTCACCGCAAGGGCGCGTGATTAAAGTGCAGCTTTAATGAAATGAATGATATCACAACTGTTCCTCCTGATGAAAAGAGGGGAAAACATTCTTCACCTTTGCGCCTCTCTTAATGTGGTCAGACACGATGGGCCTGTCGGGTGCGCTACTTAAAGCCCGAGCTGGGGTCCCCGCATCAACAATGAGACATCCAATGATGTCCTTCGCCCTGATGGTCTAGCGGTATGATTCTCCCTTAGGGCCTAACAACCCACATCTGGGAGAGGTCCCAGGTTCGATCCCTGGTTAGGGCCCATGTATTTTGCTTTTGGCTTCTGAATCCACTCTCGATTGTTGTTTTTTTGGACTCGGCGCCGGGTGCATGCCCTCTTCATTCGCCTCCCCCCTCGGAAAAAGACTATCTCAGTTGTTGAATAGCTCTTTGAGATTAACATCTCCCGACTTACATTGCTTGCTCGGGGGCATTTTGTAGACCTCCGTTAACCCGGGGTAGTTGCTGTACCAGCAGGTGCAGGTGCCTCTCAATGGACTCTCGTCCACGGCGAGCGTATCCTCACACACCAATGTCCCTAGGTCGCCATACCACTTCTCCATGGAGAAAGGGTCGTCCTTGCTAGCAATGACACCATACGTCCCGCATCCCGCATTGAGGATACCGCCCTTCTTCGCTGTGGTCATATCTGTTTGGCACCCATTCAGGATCGTCCGGAAACGTGCCCTACAGTAGTCTCTCTTTTCCTCGTCAGTCTTGCCCAGGGTGAACCGAAAGGTGCCGGTGCAAGATTCGCGCGAGTACATGAGACCCAACCATAACCTATCGCCCGAGCCTGTGATCTTGTACGGATATGACGTTCCACTGGATTTTGGGTTGCCGTCCGATGTTTCTGCCGTGCCGTTGGGAAGGGGCGAAACAATGACGTTTTCCCAGTACGCAGAGTTGCTGTAGAAGTTGTTGATGTGCTCTTCTGCCTCTGGCTGCGAGAATGCTGGGCCCTCAAACGAACATTCGGGGTCGGGGATCGGCTCGACTAGCGGCGCGATCGTCGCTAGCAGCGGGTTCTTCATCCCCTCGAAGGTAGGGGCCGCGCGGGCTTCGATCTCCGCCTGAGTCCACGAGCTCACGTTGAAGTCCATGTACCCGAGGTCGACTGGAAATCCGTTCTGCATGCGCTGGTGCTCGCCTGAACCGAGCGTACCAATCTCGCTGCCCCACTTCCCATATTGTGGAGGTTTGGGGAAGTAGTTGATACTGTCATAGAAGTACAAGCTGTTGGGGAGCCAGGCGTAATTGTCGGCATTCAAACTCGACCGTTGACCGCCGCCTTTCTGGTTGAGCGGTCGCTGCGCCAGCCTGTCAACATAATACGGGCCGTAGGCTCGCGGGCCCCTACCCCCTTCTTCGACCCGTTGATCGTCGACTACACGCGGCGCATTAGCATTAGCATCAATCCCCAACTTCTGTTGATATGCACTTACTTTTAGGAATACCGACGGCGTCCAGATGCATAATCTCATGCAAGAGGTACTGTCCCGTGTTCGCCTGCCACTCCGCCTCTTGGGCATACTTGAGCTCTCCTCTCTCCAGTCCATCTTCGAGAAGTTCAAAAGTATCGTCCAGGGTTCTGAGCTCGAAGAACACTGGACAAAGCGTCACGTGTTGATATTTCCAGCCAAACCAACTTGTTGTCTATGCGTACCCTCCCGCGGCCTTGCCATCAATCCTGGTTTTGCATTGATCTTTGGTATCTTTGCAGCTCAGGATGATGTCAAAGGATTTCTTCCCCTTGAACTCTTCGGCTCTCTGAAAGTTTTCTGTTTTTGAAGTTGGGTTACTACCATGTTACCAATATCCAGGTTTCCGTGGGTCTCGAACTTACGGCTGATGCGATCTTGATACTCCGCGAAGTCGGGGCCAATGTAGGTCCTCCATGTGGGAATCTGTCTGCCAGTGGTCGGCACCGCTTTGGCAAACCTTGCGAGAGTTACCGCGTCCCAGGCTGCGGTCTCAATGATGTTCTTGTATGGGTTACAAGAGCCGTCTTCGTACTTGATCGTGCCGCCTCCAAAAGCGACTAAACCAGACTGGGCAATGGCGGCATCGGCACACTCCCTGGATGGCTTCTCCCACGGATTGCGGCAGGCCGAAGCAAGAAGAGGAATATTTCCCGAGAACGGGTTCTGCCCATCAGGACGCCACAGAGCCTTGAAACTGGAAGGGGGGTTTGCAGGGTCCGATGCCGCTGGGTCTGATATGGCTATCGGAATGTCCCTCGGCAAATTTGGTGCCGCAGCTCCCAAAGAAGCCGCGTGGACTGCAAGAAATAGAAGAAAGGGGAGCATGCTGAAGTAATAGGACTCGAAGGAACGGTTTGAATGGGAGATTGGTGTTAGAGTACGAGGCATGACTTCACGACACGAGATGAACCTTCCCGAGTGTTGACCAGCTTTTGTATTCTGCCTCCATGATCTTGCCGAGGCGTCTGAACAACATACCACATTGTCTTTGACAGTGATGCTGCCATGATTTGGACCTCCAAACGAGCCACAAGGACCCCAACCCCGGTGTCACTGATGATAATCTGTTGGTAGGGGCCATTCTGATGCCTTTGATACCCAATATTAGAAATCTTCCACCGGTAACCTTTTCCCACAGGACTGTTCAAAATTACGGGGGTTGCATTTGCATGTAGGCGGACTTCGCTGGACCGACTTTACCTGATTGCCGCTCTTTTGGACCCAGAGTTTAAACGCTCTAGCGCTTGGAGATTGGTGACTAGCTTGTTTTTGATCCATTCGGGGCCATTTGGACCCCAAGTCGTTGTTGTTGAGCCCTCAGCCTTCGCCAATTTCATGTTTCAGCATCTTTTCCCATTGGTGTTCTGCCCCCAACGAGGGCAAACGAAGATTGCCAACAGTAGGATCCAACCTGGCTGGCTCACAAACGTGACCTGCCATTTATGGTCTTCCAGCCCCCCTCACGCAGCATCGGAGTGTTACCAAATCAACACCCCCAGCAGCATAAAGCCTCGCCTCTCCGCCCCATCATGCAAGAGCTCTTCTCACTTCACTTGACTCCACAGGCCACCCAACCTGTGTAGAGCACACCAATGCATCCGAGTGCGCCGTGGCTTCCATAATCACTCCTCAGAAGCCACTGATTGAGTTCCGTTTTGATCACCTTTGAACCTCCTCCACTCATTTCTCCGGACTTCCACCATGAACGTTGGTCATGATCGCATGTTGCAGAGTTCGAGCTGGAAGAAGAGGCTCTGGATACCTAGGCTCTGCAGCTTCTTCAGGACTGCTTGCACCCTATCACTTGTAGGAGCCTTCGGTCAACCAGCACATGCTTTGGCAGTTCCCGGGGTGGGATTTGGCTTGGACCCTGATCATAGGTAAGTATAATGAAAGCTGCCCCATGTCTCTACAGATTAATTGACGAAGCGGTCTAAGCACTGCCGCTGTTTACTTCGCGAATGGCTCGTTCGCGCCAGTAGCGCGGGTGGAGGGCAGCCCGAGCTGCAAGGCCTTTATGAGAAGCGTGTCTTCAAGACAACACACGCAGCGAATAGCATTCTGCGGCACGCTGCCGACATATGCGAGCCGTTTGGTTCCCTTTTGCGCACCATCTCCAGACGCGGAAAGCGTAGAAGCATTGTTGCTAGATCTGAAGGCTGCAGTCTCGTCATGCCTTAGTACCTCCTTCTGCTATGCCGACATCGCGCTCTCCCATCCGTCCGTACGATCACGGCAGTTATCAACGCAATGTCATTGAAGAGTCATTGCAACATTTCGGCTCGCGACAGGCCAGGGGTCCAGGAACGTTTCGAGTTTTGACCGCGAGTTCTGCAGCAATCCAAACCAACAAAATTGCTTCCCTGCCGCCGGACGAGAATCCGCAGATCGTTTTGGTGATTGGCTACAGCCAGTCTTTCGTCGATGCTGCGCTTGTTTGTGAGGAGTTCGGAGTCATCGACCGGTTGCGCCACGACCACGCCGTCTATGGCAATGATACAGACGGCGCCGGCCAGCTGCAAATGGTTGCCAATGTCTTACGACGCGTTTTCAAGCCTCCACTCGGGGCTTGCGCTTTCAAGACAGCCCCCGAAGAGGTGCTTACACTCTTACTACATGGGGATTCGGTAGGAGATTCTGGATTTCTGGAGGTTCTTACGGATATCTTTGGTGTTGACAGGGTCGAAAACGCGTATGTTATTAGCCCGGTGTACTCAGCCGCCATTGGTGTGGCGATGTCGTCACATGAACACGTGCACGATGTTGGATTTCGGGAGCCAGCTGCGTTGGGGTGTCGTTGGCGGTCAGGACTGTATTGGGGATCACATGGAGACCTATAAAGCGCTTTAAAACTCCCCCTGTATATATTTTGGATTGCGAACTATCTCGACAGACTCAAAGGCATTTCCAAAACACTCTTCTGTTTCTTTCTCAGGTACAGCTTACTTGCAATCCCCACTAGGGACATTGCTGGTGATATTTGGCGGGATGTCGATAGAACATTCTCCCAGGTCGTTGCAAGTGCCTTTGCTGTCAAAGCCATCGATTTGAGCGGTGCAAGACTTTCCTGCCTTGCTCGCTTCGTAGCAAGAAAACGTCAGTTATGCTCATGCCTTGATTTGTGTCTTCTCTGTCAGACACATGTCCAGAGAGGTTGAAATTACCTCGAGATACTGGTCCAGCCAGAACGTCACCAACAAGCATAAAGAAGAGAAAGCTTTTCAATCCCAAGGGCTGCATTGTGTGTACAAGGGACGAAGGTACTGAATAAATCAATGATACTGGGGAATGGGAAGTATTTCAATAAAGCTCAGTAATTGTGAGTGTCAAATTGTTGCGATGGCTAAGCTCGGTTTTGATTGTGGAAAGCCTTTTATTTTATATGCGAGCTCTCGGTAGACTTGTTGTATTTTCTAGTCGCTCCTGTGCGCCGTGTGCATTGACAAGAAATTTCCCATCAACTTCCACGAGTTGAGAAAGATGTTGAAACGGCCTATTCAAACTTGTTCGACGGGTGGTTTATAAGATCCGAGTCTTATAAGATATAGTATGATACAATGGGCCAATCAGCTAGGGACGTTGGTAAGTTCAGATGACAGCTGTCAATCCATTCCCACAGACCCCATGAACAAAGACAACCGCTTGATGATTCTGCCGGTCTTGCATTTCTGCGTTGATCCAAGTCTAGCCATTGCAGCACTAAATGACACAGAATGAATCATAAACCTTAAGTAGACCAATGGTAAACATTCTCTAGTAAGTGATGTTTACGTTATCGAGCCTCATCCTCAATAGCCGGCTCCAGAAGTATGCAGCTTGACGCATGGATACTACTGGCCAATGTGCGCAACTACATTGAAGAGTCATGAACCACAAACGATATTTCTGGTATCTTTGCTTGCTGATGTGCATGAAAGCTAGCCAGTCACCAATGAGTCTCATGTTCGCCAAGGAGTGATATTGCTGACACTAGTCTGACTACTGCACCCGCAGCTCAAAGGCTAATCCTTGCAACCGCATCGTGGTCAAAACGAAGCCTTATCCCCAGACTCGTTTGATCAACGTTCCATCTTGAACATACACCATTCTGCAACTACGTTCAGACCACAATAAATATCCAAAGCTTTCAGCCTCTCATCCACACGCGACCATCGTTTAGGAAATTTCCTTCTTGGGCATTCGAGAAATCACGGCCGAAAATTGCTTACCTGAGCGTCCAACATCGTCAACGTCATCCTGCCCAGACATGAAAACCAGCGACCATGAGGATACTGTCGATTCCTTCGTCAGCAGCATAGAAGATGTGAATCCGTCTTCTTTCAGCAGTGAGAGCGATCGGATGAAAGCTCTATTAGCAGCACAGGCTCTGTTGGTCCGACTCGAGTCGCCGTGGGACACGGCTGTGAGACTCAACATGACTCAAGTACGTACTTCGGTCCTAGGCTTGATTCTGTGACATACGCGCCTAATGACTCTTACTGTTACAGCCGGCTCTTGGGGCTGCTATCAGAACGGTAAAGGATCTGGAGTTATTCGAGAGGTGGAACGAGCACGGAAACGGACCACTTACAAGCACACAAGCAGCGGAGATTATCGGAGGCAAATGCGATCGTGCGTTACTTTGTGAGTTTGAACTTGCCTAAAATCTTTTTGCTGCGCTTATCGACAAAATCAGACCGGCTTCTCCGTCTTCTGGCAGCAAACCATCTGCTAGAAGAAGTATCACTTGGCACATTCAAGCCTACGCAATTTGGCGTTGCTATCACCGCACCTGTGTTCAATGGACTCTTCAGTAGCTAGTATGTTTCAGGCACACTGTATGCATGAAAAGCTTTGGACTAATCATATCCTCAGCTACAATCTCATCCTGCCAATCTACGCAAAACTACCAAAGTTCTTCGAAGCAACCGGGTACAAGAATCCTGAAGACTCTAGACACTCGGGATTTCAATACGCGCATGGATGGGATGGAGATCTTTGGTCATACTACCAAGCTCATCCCAAGGAGGAGGAAGAGTTCAGCATCATACAACAAAGCATTGCGGCACAACAGCCCGCGTGGACAGACATCTACCCCGCGGACTCGCTTCTCGACACAACCCCTGATACACCATTGCTAGTTGACATCGGGGGTAGCACTGGCCACGACATTCTGAAGTTCCACGTCCTTTACCCCGAGAAAGCTTCCCGACTGTACCTGGAGGACTTGGGATCCGTGGTAGAAAAGGCGGAGCTCCCATCTGGCGTGAAGAAGGTGGCTTATGATTTCTTTAAGCCGCAGCCCATCAAAGGTTTGTCTCGTTATTGATTCAGTAGGTATACCCAGGCTAACCGGCTGCTAGGTGCACGAGCATACTTGATGCACTCCATACTTCATGATTGGTCTGATGAACCGGCTCGGAAGATACTTGAGATGCAAAAGGATGCGATGACTCCAGGATACAGCCGGTTACTCATACACGACCACATAGACGTTGAAGGCCCTGCAAACCCTCAGGCTACCGCTTTCGACATTCAAATGATGGCTATGGTATCAGGAAAGGAGAGATCCGAGAAGGATTGGCGGCAGCTTCTCACATCTGTTGGATTCAGTGTGGTGAAAATTTGGAAACTGCCTTCAGCGGCTCACAGTATCATTGAGGTTGAACTACCAGCATGAATTAATCGAAAACAGATATCAGGGTTCATTCACAAGTGTTGAATGCGAGAGATTAGCTTCGATATTGATCAGATAATCAAAACAGTATCATTCGTGGCCGTGTGTTTCCGTTTCTTAATCGTCCATGTTTTCCAAGCTACAGGTCATGGATCGGATATTTTCCATGATCTTAGTAGCAGCAAGAAGCCTTTCAATCTTGAGATCATGACTAGTGCGTTCTTGGATAACCTTATCATCTTCCCGCGCAAATGAGTCAACCTTCTCCTCTGTCAGCTGAAACATCCAGTCTGTTGAGAGCCCAAGTAGAGGTCCTTTGGTGTCAGAAATGAAACTTTCGACAATATGATTGTTGACATATCTGACGAATGAGTCAAGAGAAATCTGAGACCACCGTCAGTGAAACGTCAGAAAACATGCTTGGAGAGTTTGTACCTGATAATAGGATTTGACAATGTCATGCACCTCTTGGACCATGTTGTCCCCTGCAGAGTGATGGAAGTGCTGTAACAATGCGCCTGCGTGGCTCATGGGATCTGCCAGGTCTCCCGATTGCTTGGGCATTGACTTGAGAGTTTTCAGCAGTCGAGCACTGCGCAAAGCTTCCAAGTTCTCGGTAAATCTTGGATCTGTCGTTTGAAGATGCAATTCCCTCTCTCGACGACAGTATTCCTTGAGCTCGTCTAGAGCCTTGCTCTTCCCTTCTCGTCGAAACTGGCTCAGGACCATCTCGAGTTCTGATCGAAGGATCTTGGAACTACCGTCTGATTTGAATACCTGGTTCAGAATGACATCACAGGCAACTTCAACTGTGTTGGTGACTCTACTAATGTGTGATTTAGCGAGGTCTTCCCACTTTCTTGTCTGCTCCTTGAACAGGACTTTGACGACTTCGGTATTGAGAAGCCCAGGCAACTCAGTCGTCTGCCACACTTTAAGCTGCAGTCTGATCTCTGAGGTCAACGGCGGCAGTCGCCTTGTGTCCTTGGATTTCTGCTGGCCAGTCGATTTCTTAGAGGCCGTGGAATGATGTGTGACAACTGCGTCGCTGGGGTAGTACGATGATATAGCGTCGGCTAGCTTTCTTGTGGGCTCAGTGCCGACATCCTCAAACTCGTAAGCGTGACCATGTTCGCGCATGGCTACTGTGAAATGGTTGCTCGACTCGCGGACCAGGCTTCGAACCATGGTTTCCTTATCGGACAGATGGCCTGGACTGTTCAATGTCTTTTTGGCAATGGCATGAAACTTTTCGACGGCATCTCGCAGATATAGCTGTCGAAGGCGATGACTTGACCTAGCGTCTCCAAGACGGGTTCTCAAATTGTTCGCTGCCCACAGGGCATCAGATATAGACTCTTGAATATCAGGAACGCTGTCGCAAAGTCTAGAGTAGAGAAGATTGCTGAGATATCTCTTGAGCATGCCCGAACCGCGACGATCTTCTCTGACTTCGTTCCACGGCGGCTTATCAAAGAGCATGTTCTCCGCTCTCTGAAGGTCAAAACTGTCATTATCCTTATCTGAGCGACTTCTTACCACGAACCAACAGTCGAATTCGCTTGTATGCTCATGACTAGAGTCACCGAGCTCATTGGCGAGCTCCACCACCTAAAACATGTAAGCATTTAGAAGCTGAATTTGCAACTGCATCAACGTGGACATCATACCACGGTAGGATCTTGTAATAAATCGCATTTAGTAAAAACACCGACAAATCGGTCTTGCTCCACCAGATCGTCGGCCATCTTGAAAATCTCTTGGTTGGCAAGATCTGTCACCGCGTCGGCAACGCAGCTAGTTGAGCCATGGTTAGCTTTCGATCTGGAACAATGCTACGTTTACTCACATCACAATGGTTTCAGGTTCCTCCATGTAATCCGCGATCGTTTTCTTGAGGGCATTCATCTCAAAATCATTGACGGAGAAAGGGTTCGTAAAAATGCCGGGTAAATCAAGGATGCTAAAATGGGACCGAGATGGACCTCCGAGGTCGATGCGAAGAATTTCTTTGGCAAAATTCTTCTTCCCAGGTCCCCTGCCACATTTGATTCCCATGTATTCTGTCGAAACCTGGGCGCAGAACAGAGTCAGCAAGGTCGCGGTCATAATTAGTCCAATGCAACGACACTGACCTCCTCCATGATCATCTCAAACTCGGCGACAGTAAGCCGATCGCTGGTGTAAGCGTAGGATTTGTATTTGTCATCTTGTGGGTATTCAAAATGGTCTTCCCATTCACACGCCTCAATCGTGATTTTGACGGTGTTCCCACTGCCGGGTGGTGTTCTTCGCGAAACGATGCGGGTGGGAAATCGAGTGCAGCAGCCGGCACCCACGGGAAATGGTATGTCGGTCAACGTTTGGAGGAGTGAGGACTTCCCTGTTGACTGACCTCCAACGATTACAAGCTATTTCGCTTCTATTTAGCAGAAGCTAGGTTGATGGCCTTCGTGAGCAATGCGTACCTGCGGGATATGCAGCTCCTGATCCACTCCATACGGTTGCAGCTGGTCCATGGCATCGAACAAAGCCTGGCTGGCTTTATCGTTGAAAGGGTCCTCAAGAAAGGTCCGGTCTTTTGGATTCTGAGCATTATTGTTGGGGAACCCCTGAAAATGTCTGTCGTCAACGACAGACTGGTTCGACGGGGAATCCGCGAGAGAGTCGACCAGCGACACCACCTCGGAGGTCTCAGATGTCGCATATGGAATCTGCGCATCTGACATATTCGGGTATAAAACGTTATTCTTCTCAGATCGAATAGCGAGGGAAGATGAAGAGATGAGCCTAGGTATGCTCCTAACTTGTTCGTATGGTTCGGCGAGCAGATGCGGAAAGGCTTTTCCACGCAGAGACTTGCTGAGATTCGTTGCGATGGGAGGGAATAAGGTAGAAAGAAGCACGGTATTGAGAGAAACGTTAACGCCACGTTCAGTGCTTCAACAGATGCTGGTCTTCTGTAGGGATGTAATCAGTTAAATATCTCTTTGCAGCCCAGCTTCCGTAAAACTAGTCAAAACCCCTCGGCATCGAGTTTGATTACCACAAAAGCTGGCATGGCCAAATGAATCCGACAGATTCATTCGTTGGCAAGGCAGATTAGTGACTGCATGCTCTCTTGGCGTTGGAAATGTAAGCTTAACGCCTCGAAGCCCCAGACAGGACATCAGCGCCTACTGCGACACTGGACCATGGTTAAACCCTTACTAGATTGAAATTGAGCCCGAAGTGACAGCCCGAAAAACTATTACCAGATCACGATGCATTCAAACTGGCTGTTGACTTGTAAGAGAATGCCGATCTCACGGAATCATACGGTCAAACAAATTGCGCCATGGGCTTTTGAGTCTGAGAAACTTTACCTAAAGCCATACAAAACATTGTGGTTGGTTGCTGCAACACACCAAATAAGGCACCCAAGCCAATTGAGGTTCGGATGGTTGTATGCAGGAGTTCCCCAACATGGCCCAGTTGAGGCTGTTGGTAGCAGAGTTGGCCAAGGAAATGGGCTCGTCTTGTGCGTTTGCGATTCGCCCACACTTTTACCAGCCCAATCCGACCCGCTACAGTGGTCGTAAAACGGGCCGCGCCTTATTGGCCTAGACCGTGCCAACTTGCACACGCTCAATAGACGTTGACTTTTAACGCCAGTAACGGGCCCGGCTGCAGATGGCAGGTCGCTGCACGGAGGCCATATCCAGTCATTGCACGTTGGCAGATGATGCACAGGGACACACCGAAACCTGGACAGTCGTAGGCGACCAACAGCCCACTGACGGTCATCCCTGATGCGTCCTCTCCAACGAAGAAGCTTTAATCCAATGAAGTTTTGTGAATTCTACAACGCCATCTCAAAAGCAATAATCGGCATACGATGGGTCTGATGCACCCGTCAGAATTGGAAATATTGACCCTGTATCCGCGCACAAACAGGGGCTGCATCAAGGCGCAAGGAGTACTTGCAGTAGTTGTAAGTGACCTACGTTCCTAGAGATGAATACGAGCAAATTTCCTTGAAACAGCCCCAAAATCAAAACGGTCACATTCAGAAGCGCCAGCGGGTCAGACGTTTCACGCCTTCTCCTCGTGCCGCGCCGTGACGATCACGCCAGCTTTCTCCCCATCCTCCGTAGACGCCTGGTACATGTCCTCCGGCTTGTACTTGCCAAACTTGCGCAGCGGGACGCCCTCGTTGAACATCCGGTCAATCTGCTCGAGTGACTTGCCCTTGCACTCCGGGATGCAGAACCATGTAAAGACAAACGCAAGGACAAGGATGCCTGCAAAGATGAATCCGACCTTGGAGCCTAGTCCGGCGCCTGGAGTGTACAGTAGGTGGGGAATGCTGAAGTTGACGAGGAAGTTGGCCAAGACATTGACCATCGAGGCTGTCCGCTGGGAGGCGTCGCGGAGGCGCAGGGCAGGTATCTCGGTTGACACGACATAGTTGAGGGGTGCCCATGCCAAGACATAGGACGCCGCGAAGACGGTCAGCATCGCCACAATGCCTGTCTTGATGGCAAATGATGGATGCGAAACTGTGCCGAGGGAGCCCATGGTCACGATGGCTGCAAATTGCAAGACAGCACCGATCAGAAGGAGAGGGCTATAATCATGCTCGTCAACGTTTGTCCACCAAGATTTCGAGGAGAGTGACAACACATACCGTCTTCCCACGCGATCAGTTAGGTAAAGACCAATGAACACCATGACCAGATTGACAATTGCGTTGACAATGGTCATAGTGAAAGGATTGACGGTTCCGATATCCTTGATGACGATTGCTCCATACGTCGATGCGAACGCCTGACCAGTAGCTTGTTGGAAGAAGTTCATGACCATGACTACGGCAGTCCTCTTCAAGTTGACGCCTTTGAACAACTCCCAGTATTTCCCTTGTTCAACCTCCTGTTTTAGAGCGTACTGTAAGGCGGCAAACTGTTCGTCGATTTCGGCGTCCGTGATCGTACCGACTCGGAGTTTCTTGAGCGATGCGTGTGCTTCTTCAACTCTGTCCTGGGTCAAGAGCCATCGCGGCGACTTTTCCAAAAGGTTAGTCTTTGTACACCCTACAGTTGAAGATCTGGGAATTACCTCAGGGATGAAAAAGATGAGGCACATCACTATGACTGGAATGACGTAGAAGAGTCCCATTGGGATCCTCCAAGACGCGTTTCCATCCAGTGTGCTGGTGCCCCTGCAGACAGAGTTGACGATCAGAGTCCCGAACTAGTAATATCGGTTAGTCCGAGTAAATTTTCGTTGACAGCGGCTATCTCTCACCATAAGACTAAACTGGTAGGATCCAACAGCGAATCCTCGAATCTCGGATGGCACGATTTCTGATTGGTAAACTGGCACCACTGCCAACTCCATCCCAACGTAGATGTCTCGTAGATGTTAGAGTCACACTTGATCAAGATTCAAACGCTGCCTTACAGTTGAGAATACGTGCGGCCATGATTTGCTCTCTGGTGGATGAAGTCAAAGCGATCGTTGCCGGAATTACTGCCCAGGCACTCATGCCAAACATGCACCAGCGACGACCCCAACGGGCACTGACGAGACTGCCGATGATGACGCCAGCGGCGAACCCGATGTAGTTGAGACTGTTGAACAACGATAACCAAGTAGGAGGAATCTTCCACTTTCCGGTGGCCGGATCCTGGTCGCCAAATTGCTTCTGGAAGGCGTCCATTGCCTGTGTCGTGGAGTAGCCCGCGTTGTCGAAGCCATAGTTGAAGGTCGAGATGGCGACTACGGTGAACGCGACCGCGAGAGTCCGATTGAAGTGCTTGAGAATCCTATTTGGCGCCATGATGGAAGAACTCTTGGATCAGCTTGAGGGGATCCACGCCGCGGCTGACAGGGTACACTGGGGAAAGAAGATGATGCATCGCGGATCTTTAAGTATTTGAACGCGTTCGCGGCGCTGAACCGTGTGCCTTGTTGGTTGGTATTAAGCTAGGCCTCCCTTCCTTGCAAGGTGGGGTTGAACTCTAGGATCCAGAGGTTTGGCCTCCACTAGCAAACAATAAAACTCGTTCGACCTGCAGATTGATGGCAAACCAACACATGGCATGGCGGAGACGGGAGGTTCCCCAACTTGGGGAAACCCACTGGGGAAGAAGCCGTTCAAGGCGCTAGGCACTCGGGAGGCATTTCCTGGAGGAAAATTGTGGAGGAGCTGAGCCCAGAACGAATATCTTCTGGCGGGTGACCGGCCGGCTGGGTTTTTGGCGTTGGACTAGGGTAGCTCCGGGGGCCGGAACTCGGGGGGAGGCGACGCAGCAAACAACATCACGGAACTCGGGCGGAACACAGCGCGAATTCATTTCCCCCCCGACTTCCCAACCCCATCACCCGATCTCATGCATCTTTCACATACATGTTTGGCAGAAGCTGCGGGTAAGAAAAGCATGGAGGCGGCTGCTCCATATCGAGCGTCCGGGCGACCCCGAAAGGGCCTGCAGATTTGTTTCCAGTGCCGGAACCGAAAGGTAAGTTTTTTTTCGGCCTCGGATCGGAGGTGCTCCGCTTCGGAAGAGGGTCACCGTTCCTAACCCGCATCCGATCAGGTCCGATGTGACGGCTCACCTGGGGGGTGCGAAAACTGTCGCCGACTCAAATTTCACTGCTCTTTCTCAGTCCCTGATGCATCTGTTGAAGATGAAGGGTCAATTGGGCAGGCGGATCCGAGCCACTTGAGGCTCGAGAAGAGGCGCGTCCGCAGAGCATGCATCCAATGTCGGGATAAGAAAACAAAATGCTGTGGTACCCAGCCATCCTGCAGGAGGTGCTCCCAAAGAGGCGCTCCTTGTCAATATCCAGATCTGACTGCCAAGTCCACATCGCCGAAATCCCACCGGCAGCCAGTCACAGCATCGGTTGACGAGTCTGTCAATGATGGCAATACACGTAGAGCGTCTTCATCAGCACGGGGTACCTCGATCGCGCCGTCGCCAGCACCGTCCCCCGGCTTGTACGGAAAAACCCTCCTCAGAAGCCCGACGTACGCTGACAATTCCCCCAGTGATTTGAATGTAAACAAGTCGATCATCAAACAGCATATTGAAGCCTTCTTCGACTTGGTCTATCCTATCCCCTGCTATGGCTTCATCCACAAGGCCACATTCTGTCAAAGTTGGGCACAAGACACCCACAACCCTCGACTTTTGAAGGCCATGTGTGGTACGACAGCACGCTATCTTGCCTCGGGAGATCAAGGGCGTCTGCAACAAGCGACTAGATGGATACAAGAAGCGGAAATGCAACTCTTCATGCGACTGAGCGAGCCCTCGCTATCGGATATTGAAGCACTAATGCTCACAACTCTGGATCATATCATGGCCCGCCGTTTCAGTAAGATGCTGATATCTGCATGTCTTGCAGCCCGGCTAGCCTACATGATGAGGTTGAACTATGAAGACAGCCGCCAGGGATTTCTGATGCAAGAGCGCCGCAGACGTCTTATGTGGGCTATTTTCACACTTGACACACTTTACTCTAGTGGTAGGGCTGAGTTCACTGGATGCTCAAAAGAGACGATTCACCTGCAACTACCATGCAATGAGCGGTCGTTCACTCTGGATATCCCTGTTATGACGGAGCCCTTGTCACCTCCTGAAATACCTACTACTTCTGATCTGGGGCTTATGGCATACAACATCCGGGTCCTGGACATCCGAGATCGCATCCAGAGGTGACATTCACCCTTCTCGCCGGAAGTCCGTCTTAGCTAACATCATCTGAAAGGCTCTCTCACAAGATAACGCACCGTCGAAAACCACTCCCGGAATGCATCGAGCAGTTGAAAGGACTTGCTGATGAGCTCGACAACTTACGCCGTTCATTGCCACAACACTATCACTTCGACAAGAAGAACTTGTTCCTTCGCGCATACACTCCCCAAAGAACATCATTCGTCATGTTCCATGCGTGGTGGCATCAATGTCAGTGCGACATGTATCGATTCACCATTCCCGGCTTCCGTGAAGGACTGCCATTCGAAGAGCTGCAAGGCCTGTCACCAGAACTTGTCGCTTATTGCAGAGACCGCTGCCTTGAGCACGCGCTAGCTGTGTCGGCCATAATGGCTACAGTAACTGAAATGGGGAAGGACATCTTCATTACCGACCCGTCCCTCGCCATGTGCGCCTTCCATTCCGCACGCGTTATCTCCCGCCTTGGTTCACCGGAATTCTCACGCTTACCAAGAGCGGTATTGTTAGCCAAGCTTCAAGCTTGCTCGGATATCCTAGAAACTCCCTCCGAAGTTTACCCAACGACTAAGTTGCTCCGAGGGGGTATAGCGGATCTGATTCACGATGCCGAACGGGATTCTGGGGACTCTAGCCCGCTGAGGTCCGACTGGGACTTAGAGAAGCACCATGAAAATATCGGCGAGGTTGCTTCTGCGCCGGATAGTACCGGCAGGGGCTCACGTGAAGTGTACTCCAAATACAGCGTGACAGATGAGATACGCAAGCTCAAGTTCCAGCAAGATGGCGAAGATAATGTTCAGCCATACATGGACGACAGTCGAGAGACGAGAGATCAGCATGATATGGCCCATCCGCATGCCTTCGGGATGCCCGACATCCCCAAGCCCGACGGCGCTCAATCCTACATGGCAATACAGCAAGATATGACAGGGAATTCGTTTGGGTTCCCGCCTGCTGGATTTGGAGGCAACACTGCGGCGTATGACGTTTCCATGACACTGGGATTTGAGCCAAGTTATGATGAATGCCAGCCAGACCTGTTCTTGGACTCATTTATGCCGCTTCAGACTGACTGGAATATGGCCGATCCTGGATGCTTCTGAGATTAAGTGCTGTTCATGGTCCGATATAGAAGGCTGTGCCATTAGGAAGTTATTCTACAGCACAAAATCTATGCATTCCGTCTCATTATGCGCCTATCTGAACTCGATTCGCTGTGACTTCCGTGAAAATCAAAGACCGTTCCAGAAGATGCTCTTCTCAATCTTGAAGGAGCCCATCAGCTTTTCAGTGGCTGACACCACAGAAACAAGGTAGTCCCCTTTCTCACAACACCAACTATTCCTCTTCTCATCCCAAACAGCCGTGCTGTATTTGTCGATTGGAATCGTTATAAGCTTCCGCTCGCCTGGCTCAAGGTAGGTTTTCTTGAAGCCCTTGAGTTCCTGTCGCGGCCGCGCGAATCTTGAAACTTGAGAGACGGCGAAGTAGCCGATGTACATTTGAACAACCTCAGCGCCTGCCCTCTCGCCGATGTTCTGTATGCTGAACTGAACCTGGGATGGGCTTGCTTGAATACCTGAAATGTCGAAAGTTGTGTAGCTAAGTCCGTGGCTTTAGGATATTTCTGTCAGCTCCTATTTCAACCGGGCACAAGGTACCAACTCACCCGAAAGGAAATGCTGGTGTGATACGACGCGTCTCATACCATCGGTATCCAACGAACACGCCCTCGGAGTAATGAACCTTTCCGTTATCACTACCGAAGCTAAGGAAGGCAGGATTGTCTTCTAAACGGTCAGGGAAAGTCATGGGTAGCTTCCCGCTAGGGTTTATGCGCCCGAAGAGGACATCTGCGACGGCATTCCCGGCTTCGTTGCCGCCGTACCAGCTGTGAATCATTGACTTCGCCGAGTGCCTCCAAGGCATCCGGATGGGGTTCCCTGCTTGTGTAACGATGATGGCGTCTGGCTGTGCTTTCAAGACAGCAGAAATGAGCTTGTCGACATGAGGAGGTAAGTCCATGTTTCTCCTGTCCTTGCCTTCCTTTTCCAAATCGGCCTGCGCGTGTGTGAGCTTGGTTTGTCGAACTCCATATCTGACTTACGTTAAGACCAGCTACAACCACAGTGTACTTGCACCTTTTGGCTAGTTCGACTGCTCTCCGGATACCTTCTTTACGATCGATTTTCCGACATCCACCAAGTCTGCAAGCCCCACCTGGAATTGCTAGCAACGAGCCGCCAGTTACCTTTGATGTCGAGGCACTTCCCGCCTCCACCCGTAGCACATAACGCTTCCCGGCTGTCATCTCGTAGACAGCTCGCTTTTCTGCAGACCCTTTGCCGAAAAACATCCCCCCTGGTGTTTGTTCAGTTGAATTGTCAATGACAAGCTCGTCGTTGATGTACAAATTGCTCTCTCCATATGATGCTAAGCCGAATTCGTAGGGACCGGTGTGTTCGGGGGTGAAATGCGCTCGCATTGACATGAAGAACGTTTCCACCTTGTCGGGATGTCTGTAGTCCATGAGTTGATACGTGGTGTCGGGTATTGTGACGTGATCAAATGGCCTTCGGCCAGCTGTGGTATGTGGTTCATTGAACATCTCGATGGTAACCCCTGCGAGACCTGCGTCGTTGAAGACATGTTCTGCAGTGAAGGGAGGCAGCAAGATGTGTCCATAGACGCCAGGCTCATGGTGAACCTTCGCGTGTGGTGGTAGTGATCCTCGGATACCCTGCAGGACAGAGCTGGTGTAGTAGGGCCGCAGACTAGCACTTCCACCACCACATGCAGCCGGGATCTCTGCATTGGGTCCAATCACAGCCACTTCATCGCAGTGTTCTGCTATCAGCGGTAAGATGTTCTCCTCATTCTTCAACAACACAATGCTTTCACCAGCTAAGCGTCGATTGAGATTTCGATCCTCCGGCACATCCCGAGTGGTCTCTTCCTTTCCAACTCTTGCCAAAGCCGCATCGTTGACGAACTCCAATACCTTCCTGGCGCGTTCATCGATAGTGTGTGGCGCAACCTTGCCCGAGAACACCGCAGCGAGGGCCTCCTTTTCGCGGTACCTGCTAGGTCCAGGCATCTCAATGTCGACACCGGCATTCAAGGCGGCTTCGCAAGAGTAGGTCCCGTACCTGAGGAGATTAGCCAATGCATATGAAGGGACAGAGAGACTGCTGGTACCAATCGCTCATGATGAGCCCGTCAAATCCCCACTCTTTCCTCAAAATATCTTGTAGGATCTTGGGACTTTCTGAGACGTGCAATCCCTGAACCTTGTTGTAGGACGACATGACGACCCTTGGATTGCTATCTCGCAGGGCGATTTGGAAGGGCATGAGATAGATCTCACGTAGAGCTCTGTCAGATATGCAAACATCAACCGACATCTTTTCCGTTTCTTGATCATTCGCCACGAAGTGCTTGAGAGCGGCCAAGGTTCCTCGTGACTGAACGCCTTTGATAATAGAACCGGCGAGAATTCCGCTGAGATGCGGGTCTTCTGAGAAGGATTCAAAGCCGCGGCCATTCAGTGGGGACCGGATGATGTTTACTGTTGGGCCAAGCCAGACATGAGCTCCTTTGGCTTCGCATTCTTTGGACAATAGTTTGCCGGCCTGTTCAATCAGTTCAGGATTCCAGGTTGCTCCTAAGCCGCTTCCGCAGGGTATGCATAGGGCCGGCACCGGGTTGAAGAACCTGGAGCCCCGGACGCCGTTGGGCCCATCGGTGCATTTGACAGCCGGGACGTCGTACTGTGGGAGAGGTGTGGAGTGCCAGAAGTCGGAACCTTCGAGTCTGTCAATTGATGTCCCTTTATTGCAGGGGAAGACCTACCTGCTAGTAGCGAGATCTTTTCGGCGAGAGTGGCGTTCTCCAGGACATGTTCGATGTTGACCAGCTTCCGCGGGGGTGCCTCCATGGCAGAATCATTCCGTTCAGCACCCATGGTGCACCAGACTTAGATCCTTCACGAATCGATTGAATGAAAGGTAGGCCTTGAATACAAAAAAGGCATACATCATGCCAGTGATGCTGGCGGGGAGATTCCGGGCATGAGATGACATATCCTGCGCCTCGGATGTCGGCCGGAGAGGATCCCGGATGTCGCCATAGTGCAGATGGTCCAGTGGAGCAAACTAAATTAGGCCCGTAGAGAGTCGTATTCCGGCGGCATGGCCCCTGAGATGGGTTCATCAGCGCGTCTGAAATTTTGGATTGGCGGAGGTTTTTTGATGGCGGACGGCTCTGGCTGGCTTATTGTCGCACACGACGGAACGGGAAACCACTTGCAATGCAGAATGTTTTCTAGCGTCCGGCCACAAGGACGTGTGATCCCGTGCCAAGCGATCGAGAAGGAATGTTGAAATTTGTATTCATCGTCTCTCGTCGCACAGGTTCCCTCGTTTCCTCTCTAGCCGAAAGCTGCCAGTACACTCTTATGACCGCCATTCGCACTTACAGCTGCACCATTCACCCAGCGACCCTCCTCACTCGCCAAAAAGCCAACAATATACGCGATATCCTCCGGCTCGCCAATCCTAGCTGCAGCGGTGATATCTTTGACCTGTTGATCGAGAAAGTCTGCGGGGAAGGTCTTCTTAGCATTTTCGAAGGCGTCAGTCGCCGTCGGGCCAACGCTAACACTGTTGAACGTCATGCCCTTTTGCGCGGAATACTGCTCTGCAAAGGACCTCGTAAAGCTCTCAAGGGCGGCCTTGCTTGCGCCATAGGTCATAATTGGGTCCCTATTTCCCTGCTTGCCAGCGATGCTGGAGATGTTGATGACTCGTCCGCCATACGATGGGGCGTGGGGCATGAACGCGACGGTCAAGCTGACAGGGGAAAACACGTTGGCGTGCATCATCTCAGCGAAGTCTTCCGGCGTCGTCTCGGTCACCGCTTTAGGTCTATCAGCGTTTCCCAAGATGGCGTTATTGACCAGAATGTCGATGGTCTTCGCCTCCAATCCAGAAAGGGCTTCATTGATCACTCGCTGACCGACATCATGGTCGACCATGTTGGCCTGGATCATACACGTCCGCTGCGCGCCGAGCTCGCGACAAGCTTTCAGGGTCTCCTCCGCTGCTGCCTTGTTCGAGACATAAGTGATGGCAATATTGGCAATGCCCTTTCGCGCAAAGTGGATCGCGATCCCTCGTCCGATTCCTCGTGATCCTCCCGTGATAACCGCTGTCTTCCCGGCTAGAGACCACGGCTGGGATGTGGTGGTCGATTCCGACATAATGAGATTGAGATCCATGATTTCGAGATGACGGAGAAAGATGGGATGCTTGCTACTCCAATTGCGCCCAGATTGGCAACGGCCTTGATTATGTACTGGTCCCGATGAGAGCGTTTAATGGGGATTACAAATAGCAACAAACTTCAGATGACGATTGCGCTTCGATCACTTCTGAGTTCCCGCTAGGTAATGTTTGAGTTTCGGCTCGGGCATCAGGTACGTCCGAGGCTCGCAAGACTCACAGACTACCGTGAAACGGGATTTTGGAGAGTGGCATTGTTGGGAACTCTGACTTTCCCATTGGTCGGCATCTTTCCGATTCGTGACTTCAATCGGATTGAAGGTCAGTCATGTGACACCCCGGGCGGCACGATATAGGCTCTTGGGCCAGCTGTTTTAACTCAGACAAAGCGCTTCAGTCGAGGTTCTTTCTTCATAGATACTAGTTATCGGTAATGGACTAAAGAAAGCTACTAGCCTGGCTCCAGTAGTCTTGATATGTCCTTTTGCAGCCGATCTTGCGGTACCTACCTCTTTGTTTGGTTGAGACCGAAGGTAGTTAGATGCGGCCAGTCTAAAAGGAATCATTAGCACAATTTCAAACTCAGTCCATATCGTTAACGTACCAAATGTGGTTCTCGCCGCGTTGACATGAGTAACCTTGGCACTTTCGCCGACTTTCATACTCTTGCCGACTGAAGAACCGAAACAATACCCATATCTTCCAAAAACCGGACTGTACTTGGCGCCCTTATCAACTCGACGGTCCTTGTTCAACTTCTTCCAAGCCATACCACGATCATCGGTTGCCGTCTTCCCAGTAGCAAAGTCTACAGTGATACTCTGACACCGGTAGCAGTTGGCTGTTAGCGGCATTTGAACCCCTCCACCGAACGTCAACTCTCCCCAGAAGTCTTCCACAAAAGGGCCTGATGCATCTTTCACGACGATGTTTGGACGAAACTTGGTGATGTCCATTCGATAGTCCCCGTCTAATCGAGATGTAACCTGGTCGTTGGACTCTTCGGTGACCACAAGATAATGAGCCAGATCATTGAAGACCAGTCGCTCTTCCGGGAGGGAAAAGAATGGTACAAGTGACTGGATACGTTGCAGGAGCCGAGCCCTTTTGAGCCCACCTTTGCTGTGAGGCGCCATTGAGCCGAGGACTGGTCGTGATCCGTTGCCAATATAAGCCAATCTGGTTTCAAACCCCAGCCGTTCCGAAAACCAGGATGACAACTCATCGCCCATATCGTATGCTTTCGCGTCGCTGGCATGCAAGCTGATGCTGTACTCATCGCAGCCTTGGGTGGAGGGTGTAAGAGGAAATCGGATCTCGTCCTTGGTGTTGACCCCGGCCTCTCTTGTAGCTGCACCAAAGTCGGTGTTGCCGCCATACCACCTTACTACAACTTCGCCTCTGCTTGAATTTTCGCTTCTTCCGTCAAATTCTACTGTCGCTTGGAATAGTGCAAGTTGCAGGTAATACCCGGCTAACATTGTCTCGTATCTCTTGCCCTCGTTGTTATCGCCATCACGACGGACTCTCTGCAGAGAAAATGTTCGGTCCCCTATAAACCCGTATTTTCCTAGGTGAGCTTGTTGCAAAGCGCATCCTCGGAGACCTTTGACGGGGTAACAGTACAGCTACTCAGTGTTCGTCAGCATAAATAGACTCAAAAAGCTCCAAGTTACGGGTCAGCCTGATACCTGTGTGATCTCTAATGAGTCTCCTGACGTTGAGTTAGACTGCAATAGTTGGCTGCTGATGAACAGAGTCGCAATCAGCGCTGCGACGACAATAACAGCGGTATTCGTCGTGATCGCGGGTAGGAAGACTATCGGTATGTCCGTGATATTAATGTTGGTGCCCATGACTTTTCTCACTGCCCTGATGATCAGAACTTTTGTTTCACTGGACTCTGGCAAAGTCAATGAACGCCAATCGCTTTCGCTAGACGGACTTCACGACAGTTTTATTGTGTAGTTGTGCCTAGCTGTCGCAACTCCATGCAGGGGTAGACCCTAAACTAAGCCTCAACTTGTCATTCAGACTCCGTAGAACGTGCGGAGTCGCGACTAGAAAATGTCAATTCACACCAACTAAACCCATTATGGAAAGAAGATGGACCAAATCCTGCGGGCAGACAAATTCACGGCCAGACACCCCGGCCCGGATCCAACGCATCCTCACACCTTTCCCCGCACATCTCCCCCAGGTGCCGAACCTTTTATCGCCTATCGGTGAGAGGGGCAGGCTTGCGGAGCGGGTTTCTCAACACTGATAACGACCAACGTCAGATCTCTGTACTCCTTATCGGACCCTCTTTCTGCATGATTCTTCAGTTCAGCTATCCATCTGTCATCTGAACATAAGGAGATCCAGCTCCCAATTCGATCAAGCCATCGCACCATGGTCACCAACCGCGTCAGAGTCGTCGAGGGCTCCTGCTGGCCCTGCAAGAAAAGACGCATCAAGTGCGATCTTACCAAGCCGACTTGCGTTCGATGCGCCAAGATTGGTGCTGATTGCGATTTCAGCGTCCGGAGACTCAAGTGGTGCACCCGTCCGACCATCAAGGCCCCGGCCATCTACCAGATCACGACCCGAGATGTACAACTAGCTTCATCGCTGGCCGCCGACGAGAGACGCGCACTCGACTACTTCCATCACCGCCTATGGCCGATGTTCACCACCGCACCAGAACCTTGTGCCGCCCCAATTCTGCAAGCCCTCGAGCATCGAGTCGTGCTTCTGGCGACATGTGTCATTGCCGACGCCCACCGGGTGCTTCAAGACGGGCGTAACAGCCGCAACCTACTCCGCATGAAGCGGCTAGAATGCCTGGCGGCTTTGAGAGGCGAGCTGGGCGACACGCAAATAGCCAAGATCGACAAGGAGTCGCTGATGACACTGCTTCTGGCAGTACTACTGCTCTACTTCCACGACGGGTACCTCGAGTGTGCACAAGCTTCCGCGTCGACTACAAGCCACCATGGTGGTGTACGGGCAATCGTCGACAGTCTGGGAGGCATCAATACCGTCCTAGAAACCAGCCACGAGTCGATACATATGCTCCTTTCGGAATTTGCGTCTACGGACCTCACATCAGTCATGCTGAAGGGCGGCCAGCCTGCCTTCAAGGCGGAGATCTGGGAAACGATAGATACTCGAGCTGTTTGGTGGGGGAGAGATATTCTTGGCAGGTCTTCATTGGCATCAGTCTTCCAGCAGATATGTCGCCTGGCATGGTATCTGGATGAGCTGATCAAAGGATCAGAGCAACTCTCCATGTCGACCGTGCGAGACTTCGAGACTGCACTATCGCCGGTGTATGCCAGAATCACCGATGCAGCAGAGAGCGACACCGAAACTGAGACGGTGGCCAACGACGCGTTCACACTCATTCGGGTATTTCAACACACGGCACTCATCTACATGTACCGAGCCATATGCGGCCTGCCGGTCTCTCATTCCCTCGTGCAGCAGCACGTTCTTCCGTGTTTGGAGTGCATTCTAGACATCAAGCAACCATCCAAGGTGCTGAATTGTGTCATCTTTCCTCTTCTGGTGGCTGGTGCTCATGTGTCCTCACCAAGAAATCGAAAGGCGGTGTTGGGTTTGGTTCAGGTTATCCGTGATGAGATACGATTCGCTTCATTTCATTCTGTGTCTGATGTTCTCACTGGGATTTGGAAGGCTGATCGGGAAGAGGTTTCATGGTTTGAAATGTTTTCGGAACTTGGAGTTGATGCGATTGTACTATGAAATGGTATTATGTTCGTCCATCCGCACTAAAATATACCCATATGTCCCTACTCTACAGAACCGTTCCCATGTTCAAATGCACAGCCTTTGTTTGCGTGTAAGCTGCAAGGCCTGCCTCTCCCAATTCGCGGCCGACACCACTTTGCTTGACACCGCCAAAGGGAACGCGGATATCAGAGTCATTAGAGCTGTTGATCCACACCATGCCGGACTCCAGACGAGCTGCTACACGGTGGCCGCGCTCAATGTCGCGGGTGAACAACGCCGCACCAAGACCATAGGACGTGTTATTAGCCAGCAAAATAGCCTCTTCTTCCGTCTTGAAGGGCGTAATGGCAACAAAAGGTCCGAAGACTTCCTCTTGGAAGATTCTCATGTCCTTCTTCACATCAATGAAGACAGTGGGCTCGATGAAAAAGCCCTTACCATTGCCAACGTTCTTATGGGGGACACCGCCTGTAACAAGCTTGGCGCCCTCATCCTTACCAGACTGGATATATCCCAGAACCTTGTCGTACTGGGCTTTGGTAATCTGAGGACCCTGGAAAGTGTCGTCCTTGAAAGGGTCGCCGACCTTGTTCTCGAGACAGATCTGCTTGAAGCGTGCGACATACTCCTCATAAACCTCCTGTTGGACGAGGATTCTGGATGTTGAAGTGCAAATTTGGCCTTGGTTACTCATGATGCCGACATGTCCCCACTTGGCGGCTTGGTCGAGGTCCGCGTCTTTGAAGACCACAAGTGGTGACTTGCCACCGGTCTCCAAGGTGATGTTCTTGAGGTTGACACTAGCTCCCTTCATGATTTGACGACCAGTTGCGGTGGAGCCTGTGAAGGCGATCTTATCGACGCCCTCGTGAGAGACGAGGGCGTTTCCAGCCTCCCTTCCGAAACCGTTCACAATATTGATAACACCAGGAGGGAACCCAGCCTTTTCAATCAGGGTAGCGAAGTAAAGAATGGAAAGGGGAGTCTGCTCAGCAGGCTTGAGGACAACAGTATTACCACAAGCCAAAGCAGGGCCAAGCTTCCAACTGCAGAATCCTAGTTAGCAAGGTAAATTCGGAGAGCTTCAAGACTTTCAACTTACGCCGCCATCATAACTGGGTAGTTCCAGGGAATAATTTGACCGCAAACACCGATTGGCTGCTTGAGTGTGTAGGCGAACTTCTGCGGCGTTGTCGGGATGGTCTCGCCGTGGATCTTATCGGCCCATCCAGCATAGTATCTCAAAGTGGCGATCGTCTCAGCAAGATCCTCGCCGACAGCTACGTTGAAGGGTTTTCCGCCATTCCAAGTCTCCAGAGTCGCGATGGTTTCTTGGTTTTCTTCGACAAGATCTGCCAGTTTGAAGATCAGTTGGCCTCGCTCGGTGTTGGAGATGTCGCCCCAGCCGGGACCATACAGGGCGGCTCGTGCAGCCTTTACGGCCTTGTCGATGTCTTCTGGGGATGCGGCTTCGACGGAGACGATTTCGGACTCATCACTACATGATAGGCTTAGCTGAAAACTTCATCGATACCAAAACTTGGTTCCTGAGATTGTCTTACCTGGGGTTGATGGCAGTGATTTTAGAGCCAGACGTCGCCTTAACAAACTCGTTATTGATGAAGAGACCAGTCGGCAGGCTGATCTTGGTGCCATTTGGCGCAGTGAGATCTATTGAAGGTGCTGACATATTGACGACGTTGAAAATGCGAATGTTGTATACGAGCACAGGTGATCCGGTATCGATGAGGACAGTGCTGAAAAGAAACGTGGGAGGACGCGCAGGCAGCGACTATGGCCGGCTGAGCGGTTTGGCCATCTTAAGCCACCCCGCCATCTGGAGCGTTCCTAGGCACAAGTAGTATCAATTGCTCACAAATCGAATAATGATTTGTCATTGAACCCATTTGGGCAACACAGTTGACCATCAAGCCAGTCGTTATCAGAGACCCGCATGCCCGACGCTACATGGCAAACTATTCTCCTGATGTAGAAAAAAGCTGGGCAATTTGAGACGAGCTACCAAAAGGCCTCCCCAAAACAGCCTACAGAGCTCCCCCGCATTCCGCAAGACATGCCCAGGGTAGCTCTGACATGCTGGAGACCTGGTTCTTGAGCTCGAGCGGAGGGGTGGGCTGTTGCGGGGGTTGATGCAGGGCGTGCGGCTTGAACTCCAACCTCAGCTTTCCGAATTGGGTAACAATTTGGACCAGTTTAGTGGGGCGTCTAACATGGCACAGTCATGGCGCACATGGATGGGCGGACATGATAAGGTTGATTGACCTCTAGCTTGAGCACATCTTACATCAAGGATCATTGGCTGGCGCCGTTTTGAATCGGAAGAAGGCTGCCGAGCCTGACAACAGGAGGAAGACAACAGCCAAGTCCATCGTACTCCGTGGCAGTCGCCAAAATGAGGCAGCTCCAACAGACTCGACCTTGGAGTCTTGCATCTGGGAAGAAATTGAGCAACATATCCAGCTTTCGTCGAGGGTACGCTCACCTGAGGCTCATCTTCCAGTTTTCCGACCAGAAGTGACTCGAGCTTGTGACTAGCGGCTTCGCTGTGTCCGACTTCGTGAAAGGCTTCGGTGGCATCCTGGCCAAGAACCTCAACTAAAATGTCGTCGCCACCACCGCTGAAAGTTAGAAATTACAGGTTGGTGTGAAAAGGTGCCGGAACACATACGGATGCTCGGTCACATACTCTGTTACGTCGTAAACTTTCTTACTGACAACAATAAGGCCGGCACGATCGGTTGACCGCTGAGCAACATCTTGGAGCGTGAAGGTTTTGGACATATTGATACGATTTGAGAGAGATGGAATTCGTTTGTAAAGATCAGCTAAAGACAGATTTGAGGAGTTGAAGGCCTGGATCAAAGGGGGGACTACAAGTTATAGATAGTGGTAGCAAATACGGAAACGGCTTCGGCCGGCTCCAGAATGAAGTAGATACGAATGACATTGCTATTCAAGATACAGATTGGCCCGCTTTGTTGGTTCCTATCCTCCTTGTACCTTTCTAGAGACTCTTCTGGTTCGTTGCGTAATGCCTGAGTCTTGGGAACACGGAGAGCAGGAATCGACACAAGTCGCCTCGCACGCCGTCTAGACACCAGAACCATGGACTGTTTATCGAACGCCTTGCGCATTTGCCATGTGGTTAAGCTGGAGATGCCAAAGCCTGCGTCAAAGCTTACGTCATACTTGCAATGTATCGCAAGGAAGTAAAATGAATACATGGTGAGTCATGGATGTACCTCAGTGGGTTTTCGTATTGCATTCTGCTTGACGCCATTATCCTTGCTAATTAACCAGCATGTCCCTCAAAGCTTCAAGAAGGAATGAGAGCCTCAACCTCGATCTCCACCTGCATGCCCTCTAGCCCAAGCTTGCCAATTTGGATACAAGTCCAAATAGGTCGGTGATTGGGGAAAAGCTTCTTGAAAAGCGCCGTCATAACATCGAAACTCGAATCCATGTCGAGATGATACGAGCGGATTGCATGAATGTCGTTAAAGCTCAGCCGAGAGTCGACGCCCTTGAGGGCCTTGAGAACATTGTCGAAAGCAATGGTGATCTGCTTCTCAAGGTCTGGAGTGACGGCGCCGTTTTCATCCCAGCCGCCTTGGCCGGATGTGCGGACAATGTTGCCCAGCTTCACAGCTTGAGAGTAATGATATTGCTCGGCATTGGATTCGGTACCGGGATAGTTGAAGAATTGTGCCGATGCCATGTTTCAAGGGTCAGATTGTTGTTGCAGAGTTGAGAAAAATTGATTCGTGACGGGCTTTCGTAGGTGACCTGGTTTGCGGATCGTGGCAAGTGATGGAGACTACCTGAAGTCATATCTACTGCGCCTACTTATCTACGCGTCTGGTGCCAAGCTCTCGGTAGCCGCGTTGACTGATGTCAGCCTACCACGTGCTGAAGCACAGCCAACTTACGCGGGGTTGACAGGGCCCATCAGGTCGTGGGCAGCAGTGTGGTCGATCTAATTGCTAGCCTGGTGGCGTCATTTGAATACTCCCCACGCGGGCCGCTTCCTTGGCTCCCTTCTGAATGTGGAGGAATGAATGACTGCAGGTCAATCTTGACCTGTTGTCAGCTCGTCATGATGTTCAGGTCTACGAAGTGGTCCATGTTGTTACTGGACCGGGCATAGCGCCATAATGCGGGGTGTTTGAGGGTGAGCATTGATCCGATATGCCCGGCTCCGGGCAAGCATGCACACAAGTGGGTTGCCAAGATCGGAGCCGCATGCTCCATCCTGCAAATACGTAGATAGATTAAGACGATCGGCATGCCATTTTTGATGTGGAGCTTCAGATGGATATCTTATAACCGGAATGGGAGAGCCTCCCCATTGACAACAACCTACATTCGTCGAAAGATACGACCAAATGGCCATGATAGTAGAAGTTGTCACTTCCCTATGCGGAGCAGGGTTATCAGCGCTTGATATATATGATGGCTCTTTTGATACCGTTGGCTGAGGTTTCAACGTTTTCGTCGTATTCCCTGATAGAGGTGATCCAATATTGATAACCCCTCCTCCTCGGCTGTGACCGCCGTCTTGAGGGTAGGGTGGCCAGACCTGTGACCGTGCCGTCTCCAGAGGTTTTCGGAGTAAACCGAGGCTGTTTCCGTGGACAAAACCTTCGAATCATGCCACCGAGAAAATAACTAAGAGGATTTGAACCTTGTATTCACAGCAATGGCGTTGACACCCAAAGTTCCCACACCATATACCACAGGTCTGACGACAATTGCAGAATTCAAGAGTGAAGAGCCTATCTCGACTATTGAGATTGCTGGCCAATAGGAATTTGGAATGCTAGTATGGTGACATAATCCTACTCGACTTCGAGACAGAGTCTACGATTATGCTAGGGCGTACTACTACTACCTGCTGAGACAAAGAAGTCTTTGAGGAAGGTTCTGCGTGTTAATTATTAAGAACGAATTTATTCTAGACTGCAGTGTTCAATGAGCATTAGCTCCGTGCT